TAATTTTTTTTTAAATTTTTTTTTTAACGTTTATTTATTTTTTTGGGACAGAGAGAGACAGAGCATGAACGGGGGAGGGGCAGAGAGAGAGGGAGACACAGAATCGGAAACAGGCTCCAGGCTCCGAGCCATCAGCCCAGAGCCCAACGCGGGGCTCGAACTCATGGACCGCGAGATCGTGACCTGGCTGAAGTCGGACGCTTAACCGACTGCGCCACCCAGGCGCCCCAAAATACATTTTTTAATGTTTGTTTACTTTTTGAGAGACAGAGACAGAGTGCGAGCAGGGCAGGGGCAGAGGGAGAGGGAGTCACAGAATCCGAAGCAGGCTCCAGGCTCCGAGCTGTCAGCACAGAGCCCGACGTGGGGCTCGAACTCATGAACTGTGAGATCGTGACCTGAGCTGAAGTCAGACGCCTAACCGACTGAGCCACCCAGGCTCCCCACAAACATATTATAATGTTTAAAATGTACCCATGGATACCTAAGTCACTTACATGGCCCCCAGAATTCCATGCTGGATGACTCAGACTGTGGTCCTCACTCTGGGGTCATTTAGCAATAACGGGAGACATTTGTGATTGCTCCAATTGGGTGGGGAGGTGTTACTGGCATCTAGCAGGTGGAGCCCAGGCAGGATGCTTAACACCCTACCAGGCACAGGACATCACCTGCCTCAAAGAAGTACATGGTGCAGAATGGCAACACTGCTGAGGTAGAGAGACCATGGGCTTCAGATCAGATTACTTTTATGCAAATTAGCCAAATTTCAAACAATGAGGAAATAAGTAAGACAGTCCTGAACTGATGAACATTACCTATAAGGTGTTCACACGTCCCCAAACACCTTCTCTTAGGTCCTGCTGGTCCATGATCTCTCTCTGGCCCTCAGAACCCTGTGGGGAGGTCGGTTTAGGCAGAGGACAGGCTTGATCATTGGGCTCAGCGTGAACTCTAGGGCCGATCCCATTGTGTACTCTTAACACGCATGTGGCTCGTAGATCCTCTCGGTCCTGCTCGCCACACCCCATGAAGAAGGTTTGACACACCATTGACCTACATTCCCAACAGCTCAGCTCCCTTCCCTCAGCTCACAGAGGTAGCCTTTTGAGGACCTGAGTCTCTGAGAATCACAAATTCATGGCGAGTGCATTTTCATTCAGGTCTGATGAACTTGGCCCAGGAAGTCATAGACTATGGAATTTCCCCCAGAGGTGGTATAGCTCCATGACAGTTCCAGCTCTGATAGGTTTAATTTTTTTACGTTTATTTATTTATTTTGAGGGAGGCCACAGAGAGAGAGAATCCAAGCAGGTTTCCACACTGAGCATGCAGACCGATGCGGGCTCGATGCTACAACCCTGAGATTGTGACCTGAGCCAAGACCAGGAGTTGAATGCTTATGTGACTGAGCTATCCAGGCATCCCACCGATAGGTTTAATTAAAAAAAAAAAAAGCTCGTTGACATATTCTCCTGACATATTCTCTCCTCCACTGTGCACTTAACTGGGTGCTTATGGTCTAGTCCAGAAATAATCTGAATTGCCCACAACATCTTTACAAACGCATTCTCTGTTTTTGAGTTGAAGAACACTCTATTTAAGGATAGGATTCCTTGCACCACCTAATGTAATATTTTCTATCCCTAATGGATCATTCACAATCCTTTCCTGCTCATGCACAACATTCCTTAATGCCGTAAGAGGAACGATTGATCTAGTGAGAGTCAGAAGATCTACATCGAGACAAGTCTGGGAGAACAGACTCAGTGGGAGGGTAACTCAAAAGTACCATCAGCTTTTAAAATGGGCTGCAAGGTGAGAAGTTTACCCTGGATGGCTTAGGTATCAACACTTTTAATTATGAATGATGTCCTGATGGGACAAGCACTGCAGAATGTACTTGAAATGCAGTGTCATGCTCAGTTCTTACAAGGATGCGGAGATTCAGGGTGATGATGTGTGGAGTCCAAAGATAGGTGCCATTAAGTAACCCAAGAGAGATTAGTATCCAGAGCCTATACTCTTTTTTTCCCCAAGTCTATTTATTTATTTTTTTTGAGAGAGGGAGGGAGGGAGGGGGGCAGAGAGAGAGAGAGAGGGAGGGAGGGAGGCAGGGAGGGGACAGAGAGAACCTCAAGCAGGCTACACTCTGTCAGCATGGAGCCTGACTCAGGGTCCATCCCATGAACCATAAGATCATGACCTGAGCTGAAACCAAGAGTCGGATGCTTAACCCACTAAGCCACCCAGGCGCCCCTGAGCGTGCACACTTCTCCTTTCCTTGTACTGAAAAAATTTTCATATGTTCCATGACTATCAGACCTTAGGGAATAGTGACAGTTTCCTTAAATGCTTGACAAACATTGGGAAGCACCTGTCCACTGATTGGCTGGTCATTGTAGCTAATGGTGAAATTGGGAGATGTCATTTGAGCAATATGTATCACTTTTGGGCAACTCAACAAAGACAACGTTCAACAAATGCTGAATGTCTTCTAAATGTCCCGTGTCGTTCCTGGTAATGGGCACCCAACAAGAATTAAGACAAGTGAGGCTCTTGCTAGGTTCTGTTACATGAAGATAGATGCTCAGCAGCAAATAGGAATTTCATAGAGTCATGTTGAGGTTTGCATGGCATCCTTGGCTTCATTATCATCATCCGTGTTTGCTTTTGTTTTCTTCTCCCCCATTAGGCGGACTGCTCTGCCTGGGAGTTTTCCTAAGGAATCCTTGTCCTCGGGTATCAGATGGTCACCGCCTCCTTGGAGCCTCACACTTGCCGGGATTCGGTGCCAGGATTAAGAGAGGGCTGCTCTCTCTCGCAATGGGCTGCCGAGACAACTGCTGGGTTTCTTCTTAACCTTGGGCTCTGTCTATGACCCATCTGAGAGGCTCCCCTCCTGGGTCCTTTGCTCCCTGGAAAGCCCTATCTCTCTGCGGGCTCGCCTCACGGCTCTGTTTGCTTGGAGTTGTATCACACGGACACCCGCGGATGTGGAAGTGAACAATGTCGAGGCCCAAGGGACTGTTATGGCTTCCGTTGTTCTTTACCCCGGTCTGCGTCATGTTGAACTCCAATGTTCTCCTGTGGATAACCGCTCTTGCCATTAAGTTCACGCTCAGTGACAGCCAAGCACAGTATCCAGTGGTCAACACAAATTATGGCAAAATCCGGGGCTTAAGAACACCATTGCCCAATGAGATTTTGGGTCCAGTGGAGCAGTACTTGGGGGTCCCGTATGCCTCTCCTCCCACTGGAGAGAGGCGATTTCAGCCCCCAGAGCCCCCATCCTCATGGACTGGCGTTCGAAATGCCACCCAGTTCGCTGCTGTGTGCCCCCAACACCTGGACGAGAGGTCTTTATTACATGATATGCTGCCCATCTGGTTTACTGCTAATTTGGATACTTTAATGACCTACGTTCAAGATCAAAACGAAGACTGCCTTTACTTAAACATCTACGTGCCCACGGAGGATGGTGAGTAGTTTATTTAAACAGTAAACAGCACGGGCTCGCCCAGTGTTGGATTTGCCAACAGGGTTTTCGAATGTCCTCTGCATGATATTTTTTCCTATAACCTGTTTACATTTTTCATATTGTGAATGCAGCGACGACCCTAATTTATGATTCATTCCCCTTGTATTTACCGAGCACTCAGAGATGGACGGTGCTGTAATTAATGACTTAATTATTTTCATCTATTTGCCTTTTTAGCGTGTTTACAATGTGCATCTGCAGCAGATAACCAGTGCGAGCATGTAGTGTTACCTTTTCTGCCCGCATCATCTGTAAAGGGACGAGTCTATAGAAAACAATAGAATTAAGAACACTGTCATGTTTAAGTTGCAAACTGAAAATTAGAAGGCATGGTTCTTTTGCATTAATGCCTAAAGATTTTAGCAGTTTCCTCCTTCCTTCCTTCCCTCTTTCTCTCCCTCCTCTCTTTCTCTTTCTTTCTTTTCCTTCCCTCCCTCCTTTCTCCCTCTTTTTCCTTCCTTCCTTCCTTCCTTCCTTCCTTCCTTCCTTCCTTCCTTCC